TGTGCATTGCAATTCACTTTGTACAGGATTCTTGCACTCTGGTGTAATTAAAACATAGATACTTAATACAAGAGAACTTGGTCACTGGACTGCTCTTGAGTAGTTAAAAAACCTGTAAGTAATTTATGAGATAAAGGAATTTTAAGCCCTTTTAGACCCGAGAAATCATAAATTTTCAATGAAAATTTCATCATGTGTATTTGCTTACTTTTTGCAGCGTACCATTTTCTAAAATCAAACTTTTTCCCCCCCCCAGTGTGTTAGTTTTCCTTTCTTTTTCTTCCCTTCTTTTTTTCCTGGATCTTTTTTGTTTGAATCTCCAGCAGCTCTGTCTGGGAGGCCCCGGTTGTGAGCGGAGGGAGCGGAGGGTTTGAGCGCGGTGCCCCGGGCAGAGCTGGGTGCCCGCTCGCAGTCCCGGCGCTTCAGCCGGGCTGCCGGAGCGCCGCCCGGGACGGACGGACGGACGGACAGAGCGGGCTCCCCGTGCGGGGCTGCCAAGGCACCGCCGCTAACTCACCTGCGCCCGGCGAGCTGTCCCGAGGCAAGAGTAGAGTAAAAAAACACCGGGGAAAAAAAAGCTGCAAGATAAACATTATGTCGGCAGCACCCTTAAAAACCTGCTCGTGCAACCACCCCTTTTAATGACTCCTTTCTTGGAGGAAAAAAAAAAAATTAAAAAATAAATCACTCGTGCTAGTGCCAGAGCTTCACTGATGTTGATACCGGTTTAATGCCAAGTTTTCTGTACAACACTATTGTTGAAGTTTATACAATACAACAGTATTGTTAAAGTACAGTGTACTGGAGGAAGTGTTTTTGCAAAATGCTTCATTATGTTTTGAAGGGAAGGGTGTAGAAATACATCCCCATTCGGCTTGCTTTTACAGTTTAGATCATTTCAGAATTGCCTATTTGGTATTTCAGTGTTTTCCCCCTATAATTTAGTAGGCCACTGATCCACTGGAATTAATGCAAGTTATCCAGCAGTAAATAGAACTTTCCTAAGTGACCTGCACAATGGCACTGTGTGTAATTGCTGTCCTTTCGCTGAAGTGTGCACCCCTGTAATCCCCACACTGCTCCTTTCAGGGAGTGGTGCACAAGGCTGCTTTGCTTTTCTAGATAGATTTTAATTATTTTTGTTTTCAATTCCTAGATAGTACCACTAAAAACAAAAGCTGTCTAAATGTTAAGTAAGATTATTCTTAGTGATTTTTTTATAATCTACACTGGAATTATTTTAGTGATACAATAAAATAAAAAAGGAGAAATTTACACTTTTCTGGATAACTTAATCTTAAAAAAAAGGAAATATGTGTATTGGATTATTTTTAAAAAAAGCAACCTAAGACTGCACCTGATCATCTTATATTAAATATTTCTGAAGGCTGTTAGATTACAAACCACCCCATATTGCAAATGAGCTGTATTATCTGGAGAGCAAAAAATCATGATCTATTTAGAGGTGACCTCAGTGTGGATGTCTCTCTCATACTAAACTGAGAGCAAAGAACAAGAGATGCCACTCTGAGTTAAAATACAAGGAAATTAATTAGTGTTCAGCAGGAGTATTTATAATGAGTTTCCAATCGACAGAACTTGAGATAAAGGAAAAGAAAGGAGATATAAAATTCAGTAATAGTATAATCTATGGTATGAAAATAGTGGCTTACTACTATTTGCATAATTTGAATTTATTCAGGCATGATGAATCTTAAAATAATTCTTCCACCTCCCTTTTTGGAATTTTGGAATTCCATTTCTTTTAAGTGAGGCTTACAAGTTGGAGTAGAGGTGATTGTTTTCCAGTTTCCTGAATCCCTAATTTTTCAGTTCTGTGGTAACCTAAAGTTAGACAACTTTCAACCTTACTTCACAGCTGTGGTGACAGACAGAATGCATTTTTGTGTCTCCTTGAGGAAGGGGAGCTTTGGGTGGATGAATACAAGCCATAGTCGTGTAAAGGCAAGGCACTTTTAACCCTCCAAATGCACCAGTATTATCCACATTAGGGGCAGGCAAAAGAAGGGATGAACCTCAGCTGTCTTCACATTAACAAAAAATGAGAAAGGAAGGGACAGGTATGGAGAGTAAAAAACAGGAGGACCTATGTTTTATACAGAAAGTAGAAAAATAAATAGGGAGCTAAAAGTCATGTCTGAGAAACAAGGGGGAAAGTCATTCAGAAAGCTGATTAAATACAAGTAAAACACTGAACTAAGCAATTTGTCTATGTAAGTCTGTTCCTTCTCTAAAATATAGGTCTGTCTTTTATATTTCATGGGCATTAAAAGTTTTTCACTGCTCTATTACATGTAGTATCTTTTTTACTGTGCAGGGTTAACATTCTCATTTGTGGATGTTATGTTAAAATAAATACTATCAGGAATGTCATGCCATCATTTTAAAACAAAAATTGTAAGAGTTTTAGCTGGATGTGCTGGCTATCTGCTGCTAAGGCTGTTATCCCGAAATTTTGCTTGCTTTCACTTTTTAACCACCCAGAATTTATGCACATCCTCTGCATCCACAGTCTATGTGCAATAGAGACCAGTTATTAGAAGAGGTCAGAATTACTACGTGTCATTTTTCCGAAATAAATATTTGTGGGAAAGTTACTGTTTAAATATCTTGTCAACTGTGTCCTGATAATCTCTAGTATGCTTTTACTATAATTCCCTAAGAATAAATATTAGAAACATTTTGTGGTTTCGCACCATTAAAAAAAAAAAAAGTTGGTAAGGGAAAACCATAAAACATATATTTTGCTTACAGAAGAAATGTGTATTCTCCTCAGAATGCTGGTGGTTGAGCATTTTCTGGAGATCTGAGGCTGGATGGAAGTGGGTAACAGAGGTTCCCTAAATTTGCCACGGCAGGAGTCGGTGGGGCTCGGAGAAAGGCACGTGTGGCACCCCGTGCCCTGTGGCTGGGACTGAGCACTCTGAGAGCAGGGCTGGCTGCTGGCAGGCCTG